TAATTCCGGTGCTGGTTACAGTGAGTACAGAGTTCAATTGCAAGGTTAGTGTTATTTTATTATATTATTTGTGCGAAAATTAATTGATACTCAAAAACGTGAAGGCGAAGAATTTATTGCATTTAAAAAGCAAAAAAATAAATAAATAAATAAATAAAAAAATAAAATTGCAACATTCATTTACTTCAGTAACCAAGGCTGCTAAAATTATATTGACGATGATTACTGAATATTGAAATGATAACATTACCGTGGACACAGTGGACAAGTATTGAAGTCCTATTGTTATTACTGAATATTATGATTTATTTTTTGTTACAAGCAATAGGCGTTCATAATATTATTGTAGTTATTCACAAAGAACAATAATTAATCATTTATAGTCGAGACGCATTTTGAGGCAGTCGTTTGATTTTTTTTTAATTTTGTTTATCATAAAATGTTTATAAAAAGATTGCTTGGATCAATGTGGTGACGCGTAAAATCGAAAAGAAAAAGAATCAATCCGAGGAGATAAAAGTTCATACCGAACGACATAAGCAAAATTGTCCAACTCCAGCGCACATCAGCATTTAGCGTCGATCTATGTTCCATATAGGAGAGCGGATGGGACGTTTGTAAAACCATAAGGTATATTGTTTTATATGGAGTATCGCCCGCGATAATGCATCCGTTGCGTTATCTCCCGAGACACTGAAGATAAAAGAGTACAAATATTCATGTTTTACGTTTCGCTGAGAAATAACCAAATAACAAATTTAATTAATACACTGATTAATTTTTCGGAAAGTTTGCCAAAGACGGTCGATCGGCTTATCCGTTCTGTACATTTTTTACAGATGTTTTTCGGAACAACGAAATCGATGGTATAGGGCTGGGAGGTGAACGGGATGGTCCCGGAAGACATCGCAACGGGTAGACACCGTCGTGGGTACACGCGTGCGTAACCGTGCCACCGGCGAACGCGCACTGTAAACAAATCGCGCGAGACGTATTGACAATGTTGTTGGCGATTTGTTGTTTTCGCGTATCGTTGCCGAGCGAACGGTAAACGAAGGGCACAAACAGGACGCGCAACCGGCCCCGAGTGACCGACCGTCGACGGACGTTTTCGGTGTTGGCGTGCACCGCGCCCGGCCGCGGCGCCCGGCACCTGCTGCTGCTGCTGCTGCTGTTGCACCACGATGGAACCGAACGACGACGACGACGAGCTGAACTCGAACGAGAGCCTTTACAGACATCTGCTCGACGACTGCCAGCGGATGTTGTACGGCGGCGTCGGCGGCGGCCGCCAGTTGACCGGAGGAAGACCGGCACCGAGATGTCCGTGCCCGACCAAGACGGATCGCGGATGCGGCCCTAGGGTGTTGACCGGGACGGCGGTGCGATCGTGTCAGCCACGCGCCCGGCCGCCACCACCACCACCACCACCACCATCACCACCGCCGCCGCCGCCGCCGCCGCCGCCGTCGCCGTCGCCGACACCACCGGTTCGGAAGAAGACGTCCGAGTACCGTCTGCCGGAATGCAGGCCCGTCAGTCGCGGCGCGGTGACGGCCGCGGCCCGCTGTTGCGGCGACTGCTCCAAGACCGTTGGCAGGGACCGCGACTACTCAGCCGGTCCCTCGTGCCGGCCCCCGTGCACCCCCGTGCCGTCGTTCTGGTCCGCGGTCGGCGGCTGCGCCAGGGCCGCCGCGTGCTGGGCGTGGGCCAAGAAGTCGTACTTTTTCGTGGCCGTCGCGTCCTTCGCCCTCGGACTCTACGCGGACGATTACTGCCACTGCGTGTACGAAAGCGACTATTGACGACGTGCGCGCGCAACGGTGCGACAGGACCGAAGGGTCGCAGGCGCGGGGACGAGTCGAGTCGTCGCAGGGCGTCGAGTTGTTCCGAGTTGTTCGAACCTTCCCCCCGGATCGGCCTCGCCAACGTTCAGTGTTCACCGAACGCCGTTAAAATATATTAATTAATAATGCTCCCATTGCCTTCTAGATCTACGTGTTATGTTGTTCGAATTTAAATTTCAATCAATCGAAAAATTGTTGTCATAAATTTGTTGATAAAAAAAAATAAATAAAAAATAAAAATGTGTATGTACCTCATCATGTTGTTATTAAAATGTGTTTCGTGTATTTTGATATATCACGTCAGTGGTGTTCAACCTTTTTAACAAAGCGGCAGAGTATACAAGTTTTTTTTTTGTACATCGGAGAAATACGCAAATGGATGACAGTTAATTTGATATTATTAGTAAAACCTATTGGTCGCATGAAAAATCCGATATCGGTTGGTCCGGGTAAGACATGTATGAATATATTATTATATTGCAATTATTCGCGGTGCAATCAGTCAGTCACCACCGTTTAATGGAGAACAATAATATCGTGAGCGATTAAACTGTGATAAAAACGAAAATAAGACGAAAACGCCCTACAATAAATCGTTTTGAGAGTGTATACTCGTATTCACTGTTTTTGCTATTATGGTATTATAAGTGCATTTGTATTGTGTGTTCTAGAGTATTTATGAAAAATGTGTATCATAATATAATAAAATCATAATATATCATCTACACGCCACGGACACGAAATCAAACATGAAAATTATACGTTATTATGCGGTAGGTAGTTATTATTTATACTTGTTTCGTTTATCCGGTAGAAGTAAGAATATAAAATACTTCGTTTTTCGGTCATCGTCGTCGTCCACTTACGAGAATGGTAATTTTAAATTAGAAAAAAGAACTGTATAAACGACCGTGTATCCATTTATATACGCATAACGAATTAATAACCGTAACTAATGATCTCTACTCGCGACTTCCATCGGTCAATCCGTTCCGATCGATTGGCTGTAATTAATTCTCAATGGTCACGAATGGAGGATTTCATTACATTCATAATATACATCGAACGCTGTTATATCAAGTCGGAAAAAATTTCGCTCTTTAATCCGTGTGTTTATACATTGCTCATTTCGTGACACTTAAATACTGTATCACAAAAATAATAACAGATACATCGCTTAATAATTTATTTTTTATACAACCGTAAGATAAACGTCATGTTTTTTTTCAATCTCTATGCTTGCATTATTAATTATTTTAAAAAAATAATCCAAACATTAATTTTCTACATATCATAACGTTCTTCTTTGATAACTAAAATCACAAAACAACAATGAATAGTTTTCATTTAAAGTTCAGCCGTTTGACTATTAAACGTGTATAGTACAAAATCCGTAGTGTAATGAAAAACAAAATGTGTCATTTTCACATTATTTCATCGTGATATAAAACTACACACACTGTTTTATTGAATTCACTTCAAATAAATATTGCAATGCCGACTCTCATGTAGATATTTCGTTAAAAATACCGTAGAAAAGTTTCATTTTTTTACTTTTTGTTAGTCATTAGATTATTTTCTAAAATAATTTCTGATTTTATTATAATTATGCGATGTCCCGCCACTGTTTTGTGCACACGCGAGAATGCCTTCTATCCCATGATTATCTGTTGTAAAATATAATTCAATTTCTACCAATTTCTAACCTTATTTTTAAGAATGAACCCAGTTATTAAATATAACCCCTGAAATATAATGGACGAGAAATACAATTTTAGTTCAAATTAAAATATAAGTAATACAAATTCCGTTCATTTATAGTATGCGTGATAAATAAAGACATTTAAAAAACACCGTCGACATTAATTACTCGGGTTAAAAACATGATCAATAATAATGAATTAAGATTCCGTTTCGAAGATAAATATAGGTAAATACTATAGCCCACCTACAGAATTTATTGGTATTTACCCTAACTCTCGATGCATGCAATTTGCATATGTATTTGGATTGTTGATCTAGTTTTATTTACTATGTATATATAAAAAAAAAAGTAACAATTATTTTTGGTTATTTTTCAGACTTTTATCTGCGTTCCCAATTTGCCTAATTTGTGTCAGGAGCAGTTGCGTAGCAAGGATATAATGAACTTTGTCTACACCAGGGGCGCAAATGACAAAAGTCGTATTTTATTCTAATTTCTAAAAAAAATTTGTCCATTATACATTTTGAAATGTATAGATTTTATCTAATTGTAAACACTACGTGTGAATTTAATAGTTAAATTATAAAAAATGGTGCATGGGAATTCACATAGAAAATTTAATTTAAAGAAACTATCGATTAATTCACTAG